AATCAATTTCTTAATTTAAGAGTAAATATTAAAAAAAACAAAAAACAGATAAAATATCGATTTTTGTGTGTCACGTGGTATGTTGAATGCAGCACCGGTTCAAATTAGATGTTTGTGATGTCAAAATACTAAGTCTATAGTTTCGTACGAACTAGAAACTCAAATTACTGATATTAACAAGCTAGAATATAATATAAGAGCCTCTTATCTTTTCAATTTGCTACAATATTGCTCATGTAATAAATCAAGCACAGTGGCACCCTACCCACCTCTTTAAATTTTCCCTTATATACGCGTACTTCTATATATGACAAGAAGCTCAGAATGTCCCTCTAGTGGCTTTCTCAGCTAGTTTAACATCTCTGGATGCGATGTTTTTCTTTTGAACCAAGATTTCAAAGAGGTAGGTTGCGTCTTTAGTCTGCTCTAAATTTCATATTTTTTTTAGACTGAAATACAGCTTAGTTACTAAGCTTGATAAATTATAGTGGAATTCTATGATAGTGATAAAGTAATTTATGATTTTGTTTTGTATCCTCCACGTGCAAAATTTTAAAAGGCTTAGCAACCTACATTAAGCAGCAACTGAGTACAAAGGTCATAACTAGCAGAGATAATTGTTTGTTTTACTTTTTTATTTACTGTTCCATGTTTTAAGATAAATAAGTTTAAGACCTTATTTCTAAATGGTAATAATGTATGTACATATATAATTGGATATTATATTATTGGATACGGTAACATGAATTTTAGCCAGGCACAGCTGAAAGGTCAATATAATAAAAATAATAAATATATATAAATTCATAATGCTATGAGATTTAAGCTATTTAGTCTAAACATTTATGTTTTCGTACTATAATCTGTAGTCATTCTAGAATGAAAAAGGCATAATTTATATTTATTTCCTAATTTTTTAACATGGTTATGAGACTGGTCAAATTCACCAAATGTGTACCAAGATTTACTGAAAATAACAGATAAATATAAAGTTTTTTTCTATAGAAAGGTTTGATAAATATTTGGACATTACAAAGATTTTGCAAGTGAAATTTGAAATTTTTTGGATGCATAAAATTATCTTTAATCTTAAAATGAAAATTACATTGCATGTTGAACATGCAACATGTGAAAAAAAAAGGCATGAGAAAAACATTGCTTTAGAAACCTTAAGACTTAATCAAAAAATCTGATATTTTGCATATGAAAGCATTGTAATGTTAACTGATAATTTGCCAAATTTAGTTAACATACTCTTACTAATTTAGAAGTTGTAGCATGAAAACTATTACAAGCACAATATGGTTATGAGGTCAGTACCAGGGAGTGAGCCCATGATGAAAAAGTTAAGCCATTTAGGATAAATGTAGTTTCATGTTACAATTTGAAGTCATTCTGAAAAGAAAAAACAATAATTTATATTTATTTCATATTTTTCAATGGTGGTTATGATGTCAGTCAAACTGACCAACCCCATAGAGTTAAGATAGAGAAAATAACAGAAAAGATATAAAGTTTAATTGAAAAAAACACCTTTGAAATTTATTTAGGGTTCAGAGATTACTCAACTGAAATTTGACAATTTTCAGATGAATAAAATTACTTTTAATCTTAACATGTAAATCACTTTGCACTCAGAGCAGTTAACACTGACTCCATGTATTCCCCAAGAAATTGTTAGTAAAAATACTTTATTAAAAATTCAGATTTTTTGTCTAAAAAAAGACTCTGTTTACTGAAAGCTTATGAAATTTCAGGAAGATACAAAAAACATCTTAGAAGTTACAGTATGGAAAATCTAACAGTCAATTTGGGGTCACAAACTCAGGCGAATGTGCATAGCGAGAATTAAGCTAAACACAGATAGTGTTCTTTGAATGAGTATTCAGTTTCTGCACAACTTTTATAATTCCTCCATAATTTGTTCATCAATATATAGAATAAAATGTTTTCTTTTGACATTACCCAACCAATGCTCCTTTTAAGTAATTATTTTAGATTCACAATATTTTACTTGCAACAACGTTGTTTCACACAAACCATGTGATTAGGTTCAAATCATTACATCTTAAGTATCAGAAAAAACATGTTAGAATTAAAACTAAAGTTTTGTCCACTTCACTACTTTGTTGATATGACAGCAAGATGCTTATGACTGAAGTGGATCCGATTTTATATTGTTAAAAAATTCATTTTTATCCTTTATATATATTACTTTTGTTCTACCTTACCCTTCATTGAATTGAGAATTTTGAGAAATATCTAGAACAATGGATTTTATGTGTTCTTTTGTTGATATTTTTATATTTATATCAAATGAAAAGCACAAAAAATAGTGTATTTACTGATATAAAAACTGTGGTAATCCTCATCCTTATGAAAGTCTATTCTTGAATATTCACAACTGAGGGAATTATTTCCAGATGGAAATCCTACCTGTAAGGAAAAAAAAAAATTTAATATTAAAAACAAAATATTAAGACTTTATAAAGTCAACATTTTGATATTTGAATCAACTTTGAAAGAAATACTGCCTACTTTTTAATGTTGTCTTTCACATGTCCTTATTTAACTATTTTAAAACTGTATGGAATTTTGTATATAAGATATTCTTTACTGTTAGATTTTGTAGAAGTTAAAAATAAAAAAAGTATTTTTGTTTTTTTACCTAAGTAGATTTCATCTGTTTCACAAATGATTACTTTTATTAATAAATGTGCTATAGAATTTGCAAAAATTTTTATTTACATTCTTTTTCCAAATATTTGTATCTCAAAATTTTCAAACATACAAAATAATTCAATATATATTTTTATGTGTAATCTAATTTAACATGCAAGTTACTGAATGATCATTCACCTTCATTAACTTTTCTATATCACTTTCAACAACTTTAGATAGGACAGCTTGAAGACAAGGATTCTGGGATATAGAACGGTGTCGAAAAAATGTTGCCCACAAAGTTTGAGTGTAGCTGCTTAGAACCTGTTCACAGATGATTAAAGAAGTCTTTAAGTAGCAATAGTTGTTTAAAAGTAAACTTTGCTAGTATCATTATATTACCATTAACATAATATGTTAACGAAACAATTATTTTCACAGACTAGTTTCTCAAATTATATATCATTCTTCCAAATATTTGATAAAACTTTAAACATTTATAAAGTAACATTTGGCATAGAAATGTGTACTTATAGTTTAAAATGTCTTTTTTTTTTCCATATGAGACATGAAAATATTTATCTTAGGATATTTCTAATGGGAAGATAATCCTTTGATTCAGAATGTTATCCCTAAAATTACCATGTGCTAATCTAAATTTAAATATTTCCTATATTTAGAATTTTCTTTATAAAGGTAATGCTATTTTCAAAATTTTAAATATATCACAATGGAGACATCCAAGTTATTAATAGTCATGTGTATTTATACAGGAGCCAATTTTGAGATTTATACACAATTAAAGTTGGGGTTTTCTGGGATAACAAAGGTAGAAAGATCAT